TCTTCTTCTCGTACTTTTAAAAAAAACCAAAAGTTTCCCAGATGAATAACTCAAATGCAAGATTGAGAAATGGAAATTTACTTTAGGGAGGTCATTTCCACTCTCCACACAAATTTAAGGGGAATGGAAGTCCTTAGTATCGCCTCTAAATCACCAGAGAAGAGTCGAGGAGGAGCTTGTGCGAAAATGACATAAATTGGGGCGATTTAGCTCATTTTGTCGAACAGGAAGAAGTGGCGCCTAGGCACCGCGATGGTGTCGCCAAGGTGCTTGGGTGTTATGCCTTGGCACCGGTCTATTGGCTTCGGGCATATTGCATGTTTTAGAAATTTAGTTTCAAATTTTTTTATGGATAGAATCATAACTCTACTATCAGGAATGACTATGAGGAAATGAATTGTAGAGAGAGAGAGAGAGAGAGAGCAAGGCTCAAAGATTTCTTATTGCTAGAAAATAGAAAATTTGTGACAATGATTTCATACATCTTAAGCCTATTCTTTGACCCCCCTCTATTTATAGGCAAGGATCGAAGCACAACACTACAAACAATACACTGTTTTTAAGAAAATTAATAGATTATATAATGGGACCTAATGAAGACTAATGAAGGCTTTTCAAACAATGAATATTGTTAGTGCATCTTTTTAATTATATTAAATGTACTTTCTTATCTACAAATAAAGAGTAAATCCAATATAAAGTTACTGGCCAAATCTACTCTAGGAAGCCGAGTTCTAGAAATCATATCAAAGCGATTTGAATGAATTGAACTGCTCAACCTTTAAGAGCAACTTACTTTGGGTGAGTTAGACAAGTAGCTCTTCTATCATCTGGTTAGCACTAAGGCTAAGCACCTTCGTTAGCGTATCTTAACCATGTTCCTCTTTGGTGAGTTCGATGTACCGGTGATCTCTAGTTGGTATTAGAGGTGTAGATGAGTCGAACACGACCGTGCCCAACCTCAAAAAGTGTGTTCGTGTTTAGCTTGTTTGTTTAGCAAGACGAACACGAATTGTTCACAAACAAATATTTGTTTTGACAACTCTAATCACGTAGCCATACGCTGTTAAAGGTAGGGGCAAGATTTAAAAATTATTATTTATATTAAAACATCATTTAAATTTAATTTTATAATTTTTTTTCTCTTTTCTTAATTAATACTTTTCATTGATTAGAAACTTTTGCAGCATTGTAGTCAATTAAAATTTTTAAAAATACTACTCATTATATATAATTGATGAGTAGTATTTCGAGCCAATACGAGCTGAACACGAACAAACAAAAATTAGTTTGTTCGTGTTCGGCTCGTTAACTTAGCGAGCGAGCCGAACACGAACTTCTTAAAGAGACGAACAAATATTTTTATAAATTTCAATATTTTTTTTAATAAAAAATAATAAAATTTAAGATTTTATAATAAAAGATGGTGAGATGGGAGCCGTCAATCCTGAAGCTGGTGGAAGATTAATGCTTGGATATCACGTTATAATTTCTACAAATTCAAAATAAAAAAAAATATTAAATTAAATTATTGTTCCAAATTCTAGCGCATAGTTTTGTTGACGTTAGAATTATCTCAAGAGGGCAAATTTATAATAATTATTAAGCATAAGGAAAATATTAATTAAATAATTTTAAAAATATTTAGTTAAAGTTTGGTAAAAATATTATATTTTATTTTGATGACATTATATATAGTTTAATATACAAATTATTTAAATATTTATATAAAATAAAAAATAAGTTTATTAATTTAAAATATGTGTTATCTTTAATTTATGCTACTTATTTAATATGATGTATTCTATCACTATGCATTTAATTGATTTTATTATGATTAATGATTAAAAAGCATCTTCAAAATTAAAATTTAATTAAATAATTACATGTAGTTTAGTTATGGATTTGACTATTTTTTAGAATTATTTATGTAAGTTATAATTAAATAATAAGGGTTTTTAAAAATTTTTGATAATTGATTTGAAAACTTTGGATTGGAAGACAAAACTTTCATTAAATTTCCAAACTCTTCCCAATGTTCAATTGTGTTGAATTCTAAATTGGTCAAATTTGATCGATTTCCAAATTTATCGCAAAAACTCTCTCTGCTATCGCTGGTAGTGACTACAAGGGTTGTCAAAATAGCTCACTGTTTGTGAACAGTTCGTGTTGGATTTGTTCGTCAAGCAAACGAGTCAAACACGAACAATTTTCTTGCACTCGGTGTATAAATGAGCCGACCACAGAAAAAAATTTCTCGTTTGTGTTCGACTCATTTTGCTCAATATATATATAATTGATTAGTATTACGTTCAAATAATTAATTGACTACAACCTACTACAAAGATTTATAAGCAATTAAAATTATTAATTAAAAAATAGAAAAAAATAAATTAAATTAATTTTAAATAAATATTTTTAATATAAATAATAAGATTTAAATATCCCCCTATTCTTAACATTCTACGGCTGCATAACTAGGTCTATCAAAATGACTCGTAAATCGTGAACTACTCTTGTTCGACTCGATAAACAAAAGAGCTGACCACGAACAAATTTTTTGAGCTCGATATATAAACGACTCTAACACGAACAATTGTGATTCTTAACGAGCTAAAGACAAATCAAGCCTGGGCTCGCTTAAGCTCGACTCATTTACACCTCTAGTGACCACTCATCAACACCTCGTTTCCACCTGATCCAGAGTTTGCCTTCATTATCGTCGCCTGCTAATAAGGCTGTCAAAATGGCTCATTGTTCGCAAATAACTTGTGCTCAGTTCGTTAAGTAACTCATGTTTGACTTGTTCGTTTAGCAAACGAGCAGAGCACAAACAATGATTTGTTCGTTCGTGTTAAACTAATTTTGACTCGAAATAATTAATATATATATATATATATTTATTTATTTATTTATTTATTTATTTATTTATTTATATTTATGTATAATAGATGGGTATTATTTTTAAATAATTTAATTTAATTGACTACAATGCCACAAAAATTTATTATCAATTAATGTTATTAATTACAAAATATAATAAAAATATATTAAATTCTACTTAAATGAATATTTTAATATAGATAATAAGATTTAAATCTTGCACCTATCCTTCACATCTTAAAGCTACATGATTAGAGACATCAAAATGACTCATTGTTCACCAATAACTCATGTTCTGCTCGTTAAGCAAACGAGCCAATCAAAAATAAATTTTTTGGGCTCGATATATAAAAGAAACACAAACTATGATATTTTTTAATAAGTCAAACACGAGCTGAACCTGACCTCGCTCAAGCTCGGCTCATTTACACCCTTCCATGCCAGTCTCCCCCAACTATCACTCACTAACCACTGGCTATTATATTTTGTATAAGTTACATTTCCTTTCAAATTAAACATAAAAAGATAAATTTGTACATTTATTTTATATTTAATAAAATAATTCTAAATTATTTCAAATACAATCAAATACATTGTATTTTAACCATCCTATTGCACTACATCCCTTTTTCTTACAAGCCAATTAGCCTTCATATCATGATAAATCTCAAAATTATTCAACATGTTATGAAATAAATATAATATATAACATAAACTAATAGGGGCATTTACATATATACCACCTAATACCTATGCATTTGCATATTTAAAATGTAAACAAAGGTTTAGAAAATCAGACCAGACTGGCGGGTTCGATCATGAGCCTTTCGGTTGGCATAAAAAACCTCTCTAGCATAGAACCTCCCAGAATCGTATTGAACTGGTAGTTCAACCCCTTAAACGGTGAACCTGCTTTGGTTCGAACAAACCGTCAGTTCACGAGCATTTACATACATACCACCCAATTTTATGTATTTTTACATATCTAATACTTAAATTCAATTTTTTTACATTTATTCCACCCAAATCAATCATATCACTATACAAATATGATTATTACAAAGGAATTCAATTTACAAACAGTCCTCCTAATTATATATATATGAATATAGTGAGAAGTAAATCTTATATATTATCATTCTTAAACACATTTATGATTATCGAGTCATCTCGTTAAATTCCCAATTCAACCTTCTTCTATAGGTTTAATGTCTGATTCGATTTTCACAACCTTGATATAAACTACCAAAATCTTTCATACCGTGTCAAAAATACTACCAATATAATTATAATAATTGAAATACATCTTTTTCATGCATTATCAAGATAATGTGTATGTAAAAAATAAATTTTAAATACTATATAGGTAAAAACATAGCAATGGAGGGGTATACAAATTTTCCTTTTTTTTTTCATTTCAATATGGACCCGTCATTTCACGGAACAAATATTACGTCTGAATTCCAGACGTCGAGCTACGTCTGAAGTCTAATGAAATCACGTCATGTGGAGGAGACAGAAAAATAAAAAAAAAATCATTTTAGCACAAGGGAATATTTCACCCGTGTTATTCCGCGTTATTCAAATGTTATTGTGGTGATATTCATGTATTATTAAGTTCTATGAATATTTCCAGTGTTATAATAACACAATAAAATATCAATACCACATAACAATATCTTAATAATACAGAATAACACGAGAAAAATATTCCTCCTTGTTATCCGGTCGAATCACAAGATAATGAGTAGTTATAATAACACAATAAAATATCAATACCACATAATAACATCTTAATAACGCAGAATAACACGAGAGAAATATTTCTCTTTGTTACCCGATCGAATCACAAGATAATGAGTATTTTTTTTCTGTCAACTCCGTATGGAGTTGATTCATTTAACTCCGGGTGTACCTCTACGTATGGACGTAATAATTTTTCTATTTCACGTTATATATAACGGCGTCAGGAAATCCGTATTAACGTTCGTACAGAAGAAGTTACTCGAACTTTTATTATTATTATTATGCTTTTAAATTTTATTTAGTTGTTTATTCCGTGAAATAATTCTCCCAATTTTTGCTCCTTACGATTTCTGTGAAGAGGACAGGTTTGGAGTGAGGTTGCCTTCGTCTCACTTCACTGAAGCTACTCCGCTTGGTAACGGCCATTTTCTCCGTCAGACGTCGTCAGTCGGAGCGCATATAAAAGCTCTGGAGCTCTTTTTCATCCCTCACGGCTACCCTGCTCGCCTTCTGAAGAAAGCACGACGAGTCCCTTTGGAAGGAGGGAAGCTTTTGCAGAGAGGAGAGCCGCTGCATGAAGGAGGAAGATGGTCAGATGAGTCGATGAGCGCAGTTCTTTTTTCCCGCCGAATCTCCAATCAAAGCATTCACCGCTCCCTTCTGACTGAGGTGAGAATCCGTCTTCTTTTATGGTTCTTTGATACTGAATTGGAAATGGATGCCGTGTTTTTTATGCAATTTGGTTTGATTTCTTGATGATCTTATAGGTTTTGGGAAGATTTGGTTTGGTGGATGTGAAGAGGTCTATTCAGTGACGATTTCTTGGGGTTTTTAGTGTGTAAAGAAGGAAGATGTCGTCCGCAGGAATTGCAGTTAGCCATTTTAGGGTGGATCAGGTTCTTTCTCCGGTCCGGACAGAACGGAGTCCTTCGCTGCTTCACTTTGAGAAATCCGTCCTGATCTACCTTACCTTCCCGGGCTCATCGGTGATGCCGATGAGAGTTCTTGAATCTGATTCAATTGCCTCCATCAAGCTTCGAATCCAGAGCTACTCAGGATATGTTGTTAGGGATCAGAGGCTTGTGTTTGATGGTAGGGAGCTATCCCGGAATGATTGGCTTGTCCGCGACTATGGTTTGTCGGATGGGAATGTCATTCATCTTGTAATCCGTCTATCGGACTTCCGATTAATCACTGTAAATGATACCCGTGGCAAGAAATTTGAGTTCCAGGTTGAACAGAATCGGAATGTTGCGTATATTAAGGATCTGATTGCTAAGAAAGCTAAAGATTTAGTGGATATTAAATATCAAAAGCTTGTCTATGAAGGAGAGGAGCTTGACGATCAGCTGCTGATAAGTGAGATTTGCAATAATATTGATTCCGGCATCAGCCTGTATATCCGTGAGCCCGCAAAGGTTGGAACTAAGCTTTTTGAGAGGGATTTTAAGCTAACTATTGATGCTCTAAGAGGTGAGGGGAAGAGAGCTAATGATTTGAAGATAGTTACCACCGAATCGTTTCACAAACCTGCTTGGATTGAGCCAGTTATTGTAAACTCTAAGATCAAGCTCTCTCCAATGCTCGAGGAGCTAATAAATGCAACAGATGCTGGCCTAAAGCAGCGAATCAAGCCAGTCATGACGTCAGAAGGTTCAGGTGGAGTTTACTTTATGAAGGAAGGTTCAGGTCGGAAGAATGTGGCTGTTTTCAAACCAATCGATGAGGAACCAATGGCTGAGAAAAATCCTCGTGGACTTACAATATCTCTTGATGGTGAAGGGCTGAAAAGGGGGACGCGTGTGGGAGAAGGTGCACTGAGGGAAGTTGCAGCTTACATCCTCGATCATCCGGCGAGCGGTTTCCGCAGCTTCCTCTCCGATGAACAAGGATTTTCCGGCGTTCCTCCGACAGTCATGGTCCAGTGCTTGAGCGGGGGCATGGACGATCCTTTTGAAACGAAGGATTTCAAGATCGGATCACTACAGATGTTCGTTAAGAACTGTGGAAGCTGCGAAGATATCGGTCCTCGAACATTTCCTGTGGAGGAGGTTCACAAGATTGCTGTTTTGGATCTAAGGCTTGTTAATACAGATCGCCATGCGGGGAACATACTGTTCTGCAGGGATGGAGAAGCCGGAAAAATCTCTCTGGTTCCCATTGATCATGGTTACTGCTTACCTGAACACGTGAGTATGAGAACTTACTTTCTTCTTCATTTTATTTTAAATTCCTCTGTTTTGTTCTGCTTACCTGAAAACGTGACATGTTTCGATGCATGCTAATTACAGTTCGAAGATTGCACATTCGACTGGCTCTTCTGGCCTCAAGCTCGGCATCCATTTGATTCAAGGACATTGGATTACATAAAGTCACTAGATGCAGAGAAGGATCTGGCCCTCCTCAAGTTCTATGGCTGGGAGCCGTCGCCTGACTGCGCTCAAACGTTTCACATCTCTACCATGCTGTTGAAGAAAGGAGCCGAAAGAGGGCTCACTCCCTTTGACATTGGGAGCATCTTGTGTAGAGAGACAATCAACAAGAAATCCATGATTGAAGAAATGATTTTGAAAGCCATGGATTCAGTTCTTCCAGGCTCCAGCGAAGCTGCTTTCCTGGAAACAATTTCAGACATCATGGATGGTTATCTCGACAAACTCACGCAGTAGAATGGATTTATCAGTAAGTAATAGTATTCGCGTATGGAGAATTTATTTTCATGAATGGCTTTTTCATGGGTGATGGTTGGTAGAGGAAGCCCGCTCTATTTTTGTTGATAGATAGATGTTCTGCTTGGACGCCCCATTCAGAAACAGGAATGCGAGGTCTTCGAGAAGATGCATTCTAGGGTTAGTGCGGTTATCAGTTATGCTCCTTTTTTAGCAGCTCTGCTGGTGAATTTTTTTTAATTGGGGGCAGAAATACATGTCCCCATTATTTTGTGATTTTCAGAACAGTTTTTTCTTCAGATTCATGTCAGGGATGTGGAGCAAAAAAAAAAAAAAAACTCATTTCTTTGATCTGAATATAGAAATGAACTGGTGGTGTTTTTGTCCTGATCAGTTGGAGAGTTTTATGTAATTATATGATTTAAATTTTGCATCTTTAAATTCTGTTGTACTCTATGTATATTATAGAAGTTTTGTCACCTAAATTTTGGGTAAAATTTTCACTTCCTCATCATGATTTGTTACTATATCTTGATTGATTTTCTTGTGCTTGTTTGCATGTTTGACTTCTATAATACTTTTATACACTTTTCAAATTCCATATAATTCAAACACATTTGGCTCGATGCAAGCTTATTTTATTGGAGGACTTGGCTGCAAAAAATACGTTGGATCAAGATAAATATTCATCAAAAGAGGCGTGGCGATTGGCGGATGTCTCTCCCTGCCACGCGTTAATTTAACTCTTGTTTGTAATGATAATTTAAGATAATGAGTTTCTATCATGAGTAGTGACTTTGTATGCCTCGTACATTATCTCCAATGACTGATAACATCTTTTATTCAAGAATTGCTCGTTGAAGTTGAAGTCCACGCATTTATTCATGACATAATGATTGAGGGTGTAATTTTTTATCACTAGGTCCGCATTTAATTTCAGGCATATTGCCCTTTGAGCTCACATTCCCCTAAAAAATGGAAGTCTAAGTCCTTCAATATTGATTTGAACTGGTTTGACTTTGATTCAAGACAAATTTCAATGTGGTTCTAATCACTACGACCTATAGGCAAGCATTACAGTGCGAGTAGGAGAGTAGCCAGCATCACTAAAGAGCAACTGGTTCTGAGGATTTGGTTGATGAGGTTGTTTTTTGGTGGAAAGGGAGGACGGTGAAGATTAGGGCACAAGTTTGCTTGATGTTGACATCAGCGAAATTTTGAATAGGCTAAGCACTTTAGCTCTAATACTAAATGCATCGATTTGTAAAAGGGTAGGTAAGTTCACGACGGAGCTCAATGAAAAAGGGGAAGATAAGTCTACAACACTACCACTATTGAACTACTACCATAGAGCTACACCATGGTCAAACCACAAAGACCAGATGTCACCGTCAACTCGCTGGCTCCATCACTGTCGTCGAGTCACCTCTACTGAAAACACTGACATCAAATTTCTTGACACATGACCATTACCGTCAGTTTTTCTTTACGACAGTTGGGTCACCAACACTTCCTCAATCTTTTCCATTAGAAGACACACCTCAGTTATATAATATTGCTTTCAACTATTCAAAGGCTAGCAAAAATAACTTACAAAAACATAGTAGAGCTGTTCCTAGTCGTCCAGTCCTGTTGATTTTTTTTCTTTTTTAGATTTCACGTGAAGACTTTTGTTGTCTTCTTTGTCAGTTTCACTTTATCCATGTTTGTTGGATATTGATGCAACACTAAGATGGTAAAATATCACTCTAATATTACACTTTTATTAGCATGTAATTATTTGACGTGGTCTATGGGAAGGATAGTCCCGTCATCAAAGAACTTATAAAACATTCAAAATTGTTAACAAACGTAGTACTTGTAACAATAAAGCATCCCTTTTCTAACACTCACTACTCCAGGGGCGATCATGAAGCCAAGGACGTTAAGTATATGCATCTTCCCTCTGTGAAAGATGTTCTCTTGCTAGCTAAAGCACTTCAGGCCCATATTTGGAAGTTCAAGTGCTCATAAATGAGTCTCAGTATGAGATTATTCAAGTCCTTCATCAGGGTCAGCAATCGATGTCACGCAGCTAGACAGGGTCTTCTTGCTATAAGATGATAACTGATAGAGAATCTCTCACTCAAGAATAATGATGGGATTCCTTCTCCAGCAATCCAAGGCACCAATCTCCGTATTGCAAGTTGTACTCATCCATCCCATACATCTAGACTGACCTGTAACCCTTTGATGCTCATAAGACCTTGGCTCAACCACACCCTAATGATGCTCCCAATGATGTAATCTGTGATGAGCTATGATGTATGGTTCGAGAAGAGTTCCCTTGAAGGGATATGGGTCATTTTCCTTCTCATCGTAATTTTCAATGGTCTTTACCCTTAATCGAGATAGTCCTTCAATGCCCCTTCCCAACAAGTTTTCAAGTTCCCAAGCACAGACTTATATAATGCAAACAACTTTCATTATAACCCAAAAAGATCTTTCGCATTAACATTCAAGGCACAGTTTTGGTTTGATAGTCTTTTTTTTAATTAAATTTGAAGTCAAACAATTAAAATGTGAAATGTTAAATTTATAAACATACCCACAACTTGGTTTGAGTGACTTTTTTGAATTTCAAAGAGTGAAATTATAATTTTTATTTCATAAGTTTACTATTTTGAATTTCCTCCTAATTTTCCAATTGATTATGTGATTTTCTAATTTATATTTTAACTTTTATATATATATTTCCAATTAATATCCCATTTCATACAAAATTATAATTTTCATTTTATGTGATAGTCTCTAACCTTGAGAAAATTAGAAGTCCTCATGTTCAAGTGGCCCAATGTGTTAAAATTTCTTTTAATTGTAATTCATATAATTTTTATTGATTTTTGAAGTATTTAATGATTTTAATTAAGTTCAGAGTTAAACATGAGTTGAATTGCTTTGCTTTTATCTTTATTTAATTCCCCTTGTTTTCCTGAGTTTGTAGGATTTTATTTCACATTTTTTTATCTTCCTTTAAATAGTTGTCATGTTTTAAAGTGGGTTTCAGTTTTTTCAGGAATTATTTAAATAAAAAAACCAAAATTTTCTACTTAAACGCATGGTCCACCATAGCACTAACTCATCCCCATTTGGCTCCGAAGGCTTGCGTGGCACTTCGTGGTTTGCTAGCCTTTACACGTGGGTTGTTGAGATGATTCTGATCCGTTGTGCCGCTATAATTTTGTGTCTCACATGTGATTAAATCATTGTTGTCCATTTTGAATACACAGAAATGAACAACATCGATTTATCATCCCCATGTGAATATTTAATCGAGACCGTTGGTTAAGAACATGAGCTAGGGGCCCTAGTGCACAAAACTAAAACCTTAAGCATACAAAAGAATCATGAAATCCTAGTTCTCACATCTATACATATATAACAAGTTGGATCTAAAATTTCTTTCGCAATTGGCCAATACTGAGGGCCCTAAGGATTAATTGGATTTATACTTTAGCCCAAGAAGTTATGCTTCAATTGGGTTGGTTAGGAAAGTTCATCCTGAGTTAGCACATCTCCTCCAAGTGCTAATTTGAAGCTTCCTCAACTTCTAGTATGTGTTCGCCCGAACGTGGTAATAGTTTTGTTAATAGTGGTGTTGGAGTGCTTTGAACTGAGGGAATATGATGGGGAAGAGCTTCGTGTGGCCTTGTGAGGCTAATAGATGGTTCAAATGGAGGTTTTGATGAGTTTAGCTGTTGGAAACAATGGGAAAGGTTTGTTGAGGGCTTTAGCTAGGTTTTGTTGAGGGTTTTAGCTAGGTTCTCTAAGGGAGGTGGGTGATCGCTTGGATGGTGGCGCTTTAAGGTTTGATACTTTAGTGGTCATGGAAGGCTATTGGAGCTGTTGGGGAGCTTGACAAGGCTCTGTCTAACCTTTAGGAAAGAACCCGAGGGCTAAGGCCAACCTGATTTGAGTTTTGCTCATTTACTTTTTTTTTATGAGGTAAGTTGGGTAATGATGGCCATTTTTGAGTTTTGGGTTGGACCCTTGGATTTAAGAGTGGCTAGGTTGAATTTGGAGGTCTTGGAGGTACATTGGTGTGTTTGTATTTGCATGAGGAGAGTTAGGTTGATCATGAACCTTTTTAGGTATGGTTATTGTCATGGGCTCTTTGGTTATTTGGAGGGGTTGGTTACATTTTTTACAATGAGATTACATTTTTGATTGAATTAATTTTTAATTGAAGATTTTTAGGTATGGTTATTGTCATGGGCTCTTTGGTTACTTGGAGGGGTTGGTTACATTTTTTACATTGAGATTACATTTTTGATTGAATTTAATTTTTAATTGAAGAATTTCATTTATTTTTCTCTTTAATTAAAAGATGTACTCTATCCTAGTTCAAGATCTCATAGCCAATGGGCTCTTTATGGACTAAAGAGAGAGCTATCCAAGGAGTTTGTGAAGGAAAGTGCCAAGTGCCGAAGTGAGACCAAATGAAGACCCAAGTCTCTAGGGTTAAAGGGTAGTTTAGGGAATTTCCAATTTTATGGGAACTCAACTTAAGCTTCCATGACTTAACTTTAATCAACTTAGCCAAAAGTTGAGGATTTGAAGTCGATCATATAAAACTATAAGGAGTTGAATTGAGTGTCTCATCGAGTTGAATTTAATGACTTAACATTTGAAGTCGTTTAATCTAACAAAAATACATTCAAATTGAGTGTCTCATCGAGTTGAATTTAATGAGCACAAGATCAATTGATTCTGACATCATTAAGGAACTCAAATGCATAAAGAACATCAACAAATCAAAGGGATTTCTCTAGACTGTCCAATGGATTGCTCCAGATTCATGCAATATCTACAGAGAATGCCACTCACAAAATCTATAAAAAGCCCCCATTCCTTTCATGAAGGGGAACTGAAACTTCGACCTGGAGGAGAAAACTGAAAGGAAATCCAAGCTCCTAGAGGCAGACCTAGTTTGGGTCCAGGGTCCCCCCTGAATTTTAGAGTTTAAACAAACGAGAGTGGCATTCCGTCTCTTGACATCCCACACCCCCCCTTGAAGTAGAATATTACTTTGCCCTTGCCTCTTTGGATCATCCATAAATCAACAACAAAATCTTAGCTGAGAACAAAGGCTAGGCAACGGTTAGGAAGATGGAAATGTGTGATGAAGGATGGAAGTGCTTCAAGGAGGAAGAGGTGATCGACAGTGTGGTGACGTGGTTAATAGAAGAGCCGACGGATGATTTAGCTGTTTCAGTGGTGTGATTAATTGTGAATTATTTATACCATCAAACGAAACTCTCGTTTGATTTGATTAATTAATTTAATATCTTGCACTAAAAAAATGAATGCTTGCTCCAACACATCTCTCAGTAAATTTACACTTCAAATTATTGTTATTCTTGTATTTATAATTCATGGGAAAAATTGGGAA